ACCCATGGACCAGGGACAATTGCCAGCCACAATGGGCCTGAAGGGGAGGGTCAGAGAGGTAGGAAGAGGCCCAGGGAAGAGAGTTAGCCAGAGCACAGGTAGCGGACTCCTGCATTACGGTGCTCAAGAAGGCTTCTGGATCAGAACCTGGTGGTGTGGGAGGGCCTGGGTTTCCCTACCCTATAACCACCAGGCAGGGCTGCTGTCACAGACTACAACCACCAGGTGGGGAGGTGCCCCCCTCCCACTCACTGTCACACACACAGAAGACATCGAATAATTAAAAAATAATACTCACAATTTTACCCTAGGAGAGGAAATGGGAAAAATCACATGGGGCAGAGGTTAGTCACATTGCTTCATATACTTCTAGAAGGCTTTCAGATATTATGGAGATGAGAGTGGAATAAAACCTGGAAAGAATAGAACTCTACAAAATGGCTGCTAAATAGTACAAAGGAAGAGCTCATAGTAAACTAGAGGTCTCTATTTCATAGCCAGATATGCCACAGCATCATTCCCTTCAAATGGAGAATTTTCCACACATTTCTTTTTTTGGTAGTTATACTAAAAAAGAGAAGTTGCTAGATAACTCATGTCAAACCAAATGCAGCAATAAGCATCCGTAGGCCAGCTCTACACTTACAATTATTGCAAGGTGCTTTTGTCTACATTGTGGAAGTTATTTCTGGTCTCTCTCTGCCCGGGAGGAAGAGGTAGAACCAGTTTTTATATGAGCCAAATTCATACCTACTGAGTTTGGGCTGCTTGGGAGTTTGACACTAAGACTAGTAGGCTGCTCAGTTAGTTGTCATTAGCGCCATGAGGTGAAGAAAATATTTTAATAATAATAATAAATTAATAATCCTCACTAGTTTCTAATTTCAAGATAAAACATATGTCATCATAGCACCCAGTCAGAGTAAAACCCACAGTAATAATCAGTGGAGGTATAAAATCAGAAACAAATTGAGTTGGATAAACTCATAGATAGGACCCACCACTCAATGGACAAAAGAGGGTTTGATAATTCCTCACACACCAAAGAGGCCTTTCTAAGAGATGGGGATACAATGGAGAGAGAGAGAGATGCTGTGATGACAGGGGATTTTTGTCAGAAAATAAAAAATCAATTTTCAACACAGCAAAAGAATAACAGTGGGATTTGCATTAGTAACAGAACTGTTATATTTATTGGTGATCTAAGAAGGAGAACAAACAGGTAGAAAGATTTGCAGACAAATTTTTGTTTTTCAAGACTAGAGAATACTGTGAGGAACTTCAGAAAAAATTGACAAAGCTAGGTCAGTGGGCAGCACAAGGGCACATGAAATTCAGTTTTCAGAGTAGCAGCCGTGTTAGTCTATCCACAAAAAGAACAGGAGTACTTGTGGCACCTTAGAGACTAACAAATTTATTAGAGCATAAGCTTTCGTGGGCTGCAACCCACTTCTTCGGATGCATATAGAGTGAAACATATATTGAGGAGATATATATACACACATACAGAGAGCATGAACAGGTGGGAGTTGTCTTACCAACTCTGAGAGGCCAATTAAGTAAGAGAAAAAAAACTTTTGAAGTGATACTCAAGATAGCTCAGTACAGACAGTTTGATAAGAAGCAAGTGTGAAAATACTTACAAGGGGAGATAGATTCAATGTTTGTAATGGCTCAGCCATTCCCAGTCCTTATTTAATCCTGAGTTGATTGTGTCTAGTTTGCATATCAATTCCAGCTCAGCAGTCTCTTGAATAGATTTATGCAAGTGACATCATCATAGAGCCTAATCACATCAGCCATACCATCAGGGGCTCATTCACCTGCACATCTACCAATGTGATATATGCCATCATGTGCCAGCAATGCCCCTCTGCCATGTACATTGGCCAAACCGGACAGTCTCTATGCAAAAGAATTAATGGACACAAATCTGACATCAGGAATCATAATACTCAAAAACCAGTGGAAGAACACTTTAACCTGTCTGGCCATTCTATGACAGACCTGCGGGTGGCTATCTTAAAACAGAAAAACTTCAAAAACAGACTCCAACGAGAGACTGCTGAGCTGGAATTGATATGCAAACTAGACACAATCAACTCAGGATTAAATAAGGACTGGAAATGGCTGAGCCATTACAAACATTGAATCTATCTCCCCTTGTAAGTATTTTCACACTTGCTTCTTATCAAACTGTCTGTACTGAGCTATCTTGATTATCACTTCAAAAGTTTTTTTTCTCTTGCTTAATTGGCCTCTCAGAGTTGGTAAGACAACTCCCACCTGTTCATGCTCTCTGTATGTGTGTATATATATCTCCTCAATATATGTTTCACTCTATATGCATCCGAAGAAGTGGCTTGTAGCCTACGAAAGCTTATGCTCTAATAAATGTGTTAGTCTCTAAGGTGCCACAAGTACTCCTGTTCTTTTTATGAAATTCAGTGTTGACAAGGACAGGTAAATGCACATTTGAAGGAATAGCTTGAACTACTTCTATACCATTCTCATTTCTAAATTAACTGTATCAACTCAGGAGAAAGATCAGCGGGCCTATGTATTTTATTGAGCTGTCCACGATGTCCACAGTCAGTCAAAAAATATGCAAAAATTTGCATATATAAAGAGTGGGATAGAAAATAGGAGTGGAAATATTATAATGCCATTAGGCAAGTCACCCTGGTTATTGTGTTACCATCTCATTAGCCCATCTGAAAAAAATGTATAGCAGAAATAGGAATGAGTCCAGGGACAGCCAACTAAAAACTAAAAGATAGGCAGGTGTTGTGGAAAATCGACCACACGATTGATTTTGGATCAGATCAGCCTGAGGCACCTTTATTGATTACAAGCGTGTAGGGGAGGTAACAGCTCTAAGTAACTGCCCGCTGAATCAAGGAACACACAAGCTTTTTAAAGCTTAAAACCACAGACAAATTACACATACTTCCATATTAATTACCTTATTTGGAATACATTGCAAAATCAATACAGGCCAAAAGCAAGAACAAGCATCTCCCCGTCTAGGCCCCTCCTGTTACTCACTGTCTGTTCTTTTGCGGTCAGCGACCTTTCTAACACAACTGTTGTGGTATATATTTCATAAGCCTGGCTATTGCAAATTATGCTCCTTGGGGACTTTTTCACTCTGCCCCCTCATGCCCTTTATACACACAAAGCCATTGTTCTGCTTTGGGGACTTTCCATACAAAAACAGGCTCGGTCAACTCTTTAGGCCTGTAAGCTTGACCAGAGTCCTAAGGCCCCCATAAATTTTCCTTCACACAGGGAAAGACTTTTACATAAGGACTTGCAAAGGAATTGAAATTATTGGGACTGTTTAGAGAGAAATGGAATGAGTCAGGATGGCACCTGTTATTAAAAGTTCTGTTTTACATAGACCTTTCCAGATACAGGCATTGCCACAAAAAGAGATTGGGCAGGAGGAAAAAGTGGATAGAACAACAATCTTGCATATGTGCTCGTTCATTACATTAGTCTTGCATTTATTAGTTGACTCTGTGCAGGGCCGGCTCCAGGCACCAGCGAAGGAAGCAGGTGCCTGGGGCGGCCAATAGAAAGGGCCGGCACTCCGTCCGTTATTGGGGCAGCACGTCCGGGTCTTTGGCGGCAATTTGGTGGCGGGTCCTTAACTCCCTCTGTTCCTCTTCGGCGGCACGTCTGCGGCAGCTCAATTGGGTTTTTCTTTTTTTTTTTTTTTCCCTTCGCCGCTTGGGGCGGCAAAAAAGCTGGAGCCGGCCCTGACCCTGTGTAGTACACCTCTACCCCGATATAACGCGACCTGATATAACACACATTTTGATATAATGCGGTAAAACAGTGCTCCGGGGGGGGGGGCAGGGCTGCGCACTCCAGCAGATCAAAGCAAGTTCGATATAATGCGGTTTCACCTATAACGCGGTAAGATATTTGGCTCCCGAGGACAGCGTTATATCGAGGTAGAGGTGTACTAACCATTCTGAAACATCTCACTGCGGGCCCCGATTAGCGGGTAAATTGGACTGTTCCTGCTAGGCAGTTTTGGAGTGACAGCTCAGTCCTGGATACCAGCAGTAAGATGCCATTTAGGTACATACAACAGATAAAATATAAAATTTGGTAAGTTGGACATGTTGGTAAAAACCATATAATGTTAATCGGTTTCTGAGCTGGTTCTTTTCTGAACATAATACAGAACCAACAAGGAAATATGCATTAGTCAAGCAGAACAAAGTACATAAGAGACCCAGATAGCCCCCAAGCCAGTAAAGCATTTAAGCACATGCTTTACTTTAAACACATGAACAGTTCCATTGATTTGAAAAAATTAAGCACTGAATTCAGTACGTTGGTGGCCTAGGACCATACTGCATCAGCATATCTATGGATAAAAATACACTGGCCATGTTTCACAGAAATGAAGGTTTAGAAACTCCACCAAAGGCAGATCAGTAAAACACACACACACACACACACAAAAAGGAGAGATTTCTTTGCTTTCATAGTATATAGGGTCATTGAAGTTTTTGGCTTACATGCTTTTTCTTTGACAGGGCAGATTTTGGTTTCTTTTAGAGATGGTTTATCAATTTCCTTTTTTTTTTTTTTTTTTTGCCTGGAGTGTTTTCAGAAGTATTCTTTATAAAATATAGCTGTAATTACTACACATTCATGTTAAAGATGCTACTTCTCCCACTGACAGGTACAAAAATGGTAACTGTTTGGAATTGAGGACTCTAGTTTGACTATTTTAAAGAAAACACTGCCAAAATGAACTGTATGTAATCAGCTACTTCAGTGCCTCAAATAAAGAAAATATTGATTGAAAATGTTGCTTAGGGATAACAAAACAATGACATGCATTTGTGCTGTAGAGGAAGATTTTGAAAATGAGCTACATATTTAAGTAATGAAAATAATCTATTTGTAACAGCTGGAAATATAACAAGCCCTTAATATAGCTATAATCCTAATGTGTTTCTTTGCTGTCTTTGCAGGCAGACCAGTAATGATTGTGGTGGAATATATGGAGAATGGATCCCTTGACTCCTTTCTGCGGGTGAGGTGTCATTTTCTGATGACATTTGAATAAGAAGCCATACTAGGTTAAGATTTTAAATCATTTATCATAAATTAATTTTTACATAATGTTATTCATGGATTTTTAGTGAAGAATAGAAGCATTTTCCCCAGGGTACATTTCTTAGGTACAGTGATACATTAGAGCATAACTGGAAAAAAGAAGATTTAAACTTAAGAATATAATTGATTTCTTCTACAAGAGCAGTTCCCATATTTAGCAAAATGTATTTCAAATGGTGCTATTATGAAGGAAAAGATAAATTGAAACGCAAATGCCTTGCCTTATGGAAGCTGTTCATTTTGCTCAATTACTTTCAGAAATACTTTGTTATAATTTTTTGCTTGGGGAAGTAGACAGCAGGGTTGGTAATTGATTTATAATTATTTATGGTTACTTGCATTTAACAAATTGAATTAGAAAACAGTTCACTGGTGAACTGTCTCAACACTAACCTTTTCCCCCTAAAGGTCACCCTGTGAATATTAAAGAAGGGATGTATAAAGCATGGAAAATTGTTTGCATTTGAATTTGATTTTAATCAATGAGGTGGAAGGAAGAAAGGGCTGCCCCCAAGGTCATATGGGGTCTTCTGCCAACATCAGTAGAGGGCTCAGTAGAGGGCTCTGGCACTCTCCACAGCTTGTGAAAATACACTCACTTTAAGCCCAGCCTCCAGTAAGAGACCCCTCAAAACCAGCATGGAACCTACGATTTCAGGATAGCTATGTGAATTATTTAAAATTTGTGTTACATGTATAAATATCAACGAGCCACACTGACCGTCCATCTCACCATTATTAGTTGCCATCATGGTAAAAGTAGGTCTTGAAGTGAGATTCGGAGGAGGAGAGGCTAAGTGGCTTTGTGAACTAATGTGGAATGGGTATTCCATGTATAAGGGGTGAGGTGGAAGAAAGTGTGAAGATATTTGTGGGAAAGTGTATAAGCAGAGGGTCCAACCTGGCAACACTGGGGGGTATGATATAGGATCAGACAAGCAGGGAGGGGCAGAGCGGTCAATGGCTTGAAAAGCAAGTGCGAGAAGCTTGAATGTGAAGATGCAATGGAGAAGAGGGAGCCAGCAGAGGGATTCAAAGATGGGGTGATGTAATCAGAATAACAGGCAAAGGTGGTGAAATTAGCAACTGTGTTTTGAATGGCCCGGGGCAGGGTTGAGGTTTCTGAGAGGAAGGCAAGGGAGGGGAGAGTGGTAATAGTCAATACAGGAAAAGATGAGGTGTCTGGAGGGAAGAAAGTTTTACCTTAAAAGCATAATTGAGCCATTACTGAAGATGCTTTTATATATTTTTTGCCTTCCATTTTGATAATTCCCCTGTATTTTTTCCTCTACCCTCTATTTGCTTTCTGTTCACTACACTAGGAAACTCAGGACTTCCCATTTTCTCTCCCCTGGTCCCAAACATTCACTCACCCTCTCTTCCATCAAGATTGGATAACACTATGATGTATCTACTAGAACTGGTCAGAAAATTCAGATGAAACAATTTTTCATCAGAGGTTGATGATCTGTTTCACAGACAAAGTTCCTTGGGAAACGCAGGCAGGTTTCAAAACGTCTCTGCCAGGCACGCTTCCACCTGGTTTCCTAACAGCTCACCTCACTGGCTCATTGTCAGTCGCCTGCCAGACTGCCTCTGAGTTGGGGACCCCTGAGCTCCCAAGGCAGAGTGTCTCTCTGAGTTGGGGCTCCATCCTGTTTTGTGGAGAACTTTGAAATTTTGGGGTCTTGTTCTGAATCAGGGTGATTTCAAATACTGAAATTCTCCACACAGTTACCTTTCTCTGCACAGCTGTAGGATCTAATGAGCTATTCTTGACATGCACTTACAGTACTATGTTAGAAGCTGAGATCATCACAATTATGAGGTTATTATGGAGCAATGATGTTCACACTGTACCAAATATATTTTTAGGCAAAATGTTTGGGAATGTGCTAGTCATTATTTTCTGCAGCTGTTTTCTGAGTATATTATTTTCCAGCTTTCTTTCTCACTGCAGATTTGGTTTATTATTTAAAAATGCCTTTTGACAGGATTTTAAATAATAATCAGCATCTGAAAGCACTGTAGATATTTCATGGGAATTCCTGTTAATAATTACCAAAGCAAATGACTGCCAGTATCAAATTTTAAAAGAAATCAGTTTGCTTCATTAAAAATAGTTACTTCCTGTAGATTTCTTAAGTCTAAACTTTGAAATGCTTTTGTGAAGATGCAAAGAAGTACAGAGAGAGTTTATCTCTAAATCATAATACATTTTTACATTTACAAAGAGCCTTTCATGTGGCAAGATCCGGAAGAACTTCACAACATCTATCTTCATATTTAAAAGAGTTTCTTTCTACTGTTCTGGGTGTTCTTACATGCAGTCAAAGGATAAACATCCAAAATATAAGAATATCCCCCAGCATAGCAAGTGCTCCTCCAAAAATGTTACCCTGCATGTTACCACCACATCCCTCAACCCAACCCTTCTCCAAAACCTGAAAAAAATGGATAACTTAGTCCCTGAAAGTCAATATATGGGAGCTCTGATGGACCAATGTGGAAAGTGAACTCCAGAAAAGACCTTCATGGAAGACATCCTACCATCAGCCCCTGCTCTTAAACCAGAGAATTGTTAGCTTTAGTGCTATTACTTGTATTTCAGTAGAACCTAAATGCCCCTATCTCCTTTGGGGCCCCATTGTGCTAGGCACTACAAAATACATAGTAAGACAGTTCTTGCCTCAAAGAGCTTCCAGTCTAAACAGACAAGACCAACAAAGGGTGGGAGAAAGTAAATATTATCCTCATCCCTATGCTGCAGTTTCCCAACTATAAAATAAGTGACTTGCCCAAGGTCACAAAGAAAGGAAGTGGGTAGCAGAAGTGGGCACTGAACCCAGATCACTTGAATCCCAGTCCATGGTCTTAAATGCAAGATCAGTCTTCCTCATGTTGTTTTTGTATCACGCAGGGAGCGAGATAGTTCCAAACTCTCTAGGGTTTGCTAGGTCAAAACCAATACCTTAAACACCACAGAGGCTTATATGAAATAGACAGCAGACTCAAAAAAATACATACATATGAAAGAGAAAGAGAGAGAGACACACACACACGCATCTTATGTTCCTGAAATATACTGTGACAAAGTCAGGCTGGACAGCTGTAAGAGAGTGATAGACTGCAAGTATATCAGCCCCAGAATGATAAAGGTCCTTTTCTCTATAAACTGATGAAAAGAGGTTATCTCATGTCAACTAGGGACTCCTGAGTCCAATTAAGGGCTGCCTGAGACCTTCAAAAACCCCTCCTCTGGTCAGTGGCGTAGCCAGCTTCTAAGAGGAGGGGGAGCAAACATAAAAAAGGTGCCCCCCCCCTTGGCTCCTCCTCTGGCCATGCCCCACTTGACTCCTCCTCCGGCCGCACCGCCCTTCCCCCCCATGGGTCCTCTGGCCCTGCCATGCCACCCCCATGCCCCCCCCTCGCTTCTCCGACCGCGGCTGCCATGCTGTGCCCCCCACTCCTCCGGCCGCGTCCCCCCCACTCCTCCGGCCATGCCCACCACCCCTCCATGCAGTGATGAGCTGCCAAAATATTAACAACCAGTTCCCTCCTCCTTGCCCCACGAGGGGGTCATGCCCCCCCCAGGACTCCTGCCCATCCAGCCCCCCACGTTCCTTGACACCCCACCCCCCTTCGCGGGAAGCCAGGAGGGGGAGCCTTCAGGGGAGGAGACAGAGGCAGAGCCAGAGCCCGGTGAGCTGAGGCTGGGGGCATGGCAGGGAGCTGCTGGAACTTTTGTTCAATTTAAAAGCCCTTTTAGAACCGGGACAACCGGTTCTAAAAGGGCTTCTAAATTTAACAACCGGTTTCAGCTCACCACTGCCTCCATGGCTGCCGGCTGCTCTGCGGGCCACCAGCCTGCGCCCTCCACTCCTGCGGCCGCTTTTGGAAAGGCGGGGGAAGCGGCTGCTTCCCCTGCACCCCGCTAGCTACGCTACTGCCTCTGGTGAGAGAAGAGGAGAGACATGCTGCTGCAGAGCTAGTGGCAGCAGGGAGAAAGGCTTCTCCGGGGTGGAAGGCTGCCCTTCTCCCTATAGGAGAAGCTACCTGACTGTCTGTTTAGGGGAAGGACTGGCACCCCAGGTCAATAACAAGGCCACACACCTCACCCCAGCCAACACCCAAAGAGGGCATAGGAAGAGGTATTTCCCTTTGTTTGTGAGGTGAATTTGTTTCTTTTGTTTGATGGAGGAGCACTCTTTGGGCCTGTCCTGAGGCCTACCTCAAAAGTATTCAGAACTAAACCCCTAGTGGGAAAACAAATACTGTCTGGAGTGGGTTTGATTTATTCCAAGCCTCCCACTGCCAGAGAGGGGAATCACTGACCCTGGTGAGGTGGAAGAGGTACCTTGCCACAGTACACAAACATTCATAATTTTGAAAGCTGATTCATCTGTGCATTTAATGAAGGGGAGTCAACTAATGACAGCAGACTAAGTAAGGTTATTTATTTAATTAAAGGACATTTTCATTTTAACTCATCTTAGCAATGTGTGCAAGACACCAAGCACCCTAAATTGCCAAAGATACATAGATTCTAAGATAATACCCTCCTCTCAGATCCTGACTTGCTATAGTTTTCTTTTTCTTCCCCCATCCCACTGCAATAGTTTAGATAGTATTGATAAGCATAGTATCTCCTCTCTTGTAACGTGTGTGTGTGTGTGTGTGTGCAAATTAATCTTCCAAATACAAGCGTTACAATTATTAATTAAAATCAGTTTCTTTCCCCTATCTTACAAAAGGACTGACCTAAATTTGGAACTATGCCCAAACCTAACCTATAAACCAAACCCAAACTTTTAAGAAGAAATAAAAATTCCACTCCCTTGATGATCAATCTGGCTTCCTTACCACTGGGGCATGTTGCCTCTGTTTAAATCTCATACATGGGAGAGAAGTCAGAGT